AAAACACGTCATAGCAGTAGTAGCTATAAATAGATCCTCATACAAGTAGGCCTTGTAATTTTTATTTTCCGTCTTTTTTCAATGAGGCCAGATAGAAAGAGATGAAGTTGATACATTACTTTATTCGGAAAGATGAAGTGGAAGCGTGTGCTTCGAGACGGATTTTCCCGTCGATTTTAATGTTTTTTCAAGAAATTTTAACGCGAAAAGTGTTCGTCGAAGTATTTTGCACTCGTTTGGAACACGCGCCACCGCGAAATACCTAAAATCGTCGTTTTTTGGACTGGAAACTATTGGGACTAGTTTGAACTTGTTGCTCGGTGAAGCATGAAGCCTACCGAAGTGAGTAATTTCAACAGATTTACTTCATTTACGTGTGCAAAGTAGCCTTTTCCTGCATTACCTAATACTTTGCACACGCAAATGGTGTTGGTAAAGGGAATTGTGTATTTATTTTCAGTTTAACAATCAAATGAATTTATTTTTATTTGAAGGTTTTTGTATTTACGTGTTTTGCATGCGACAAAGTATCACTTTGCGCACTTGTTAGGAAAATAACCATAACAATTATTCTATGTTTACCTGTTTACTTCTTCTGGTTACCGATAGATGGCGCCAGTAATAGAAATAGCTCTTCAATCAAGTAGGTCAAGTAATTTTGATTTTTCGCCTTTTTTCAATGACTCAAGATAGAAAGAGATGAAGCTAACCTGCTTGTTAGGTGACTTAAGAATTTTTGACACATTATTCTCTTTATTCGGGAAGATGACGTGAGAGCGTGTGCCTCGTGCCGGATTTTCTCGTCGATTTTTTGGAAAATTTAGTGTTTTTTCGGAAAATTTCATTGCGGAAAATGTGTTAAAGCGTTCGTCGAAGTGTTTCGCACTCGTTTGGCACACGCGCCGCCGCAAAATTCGAAAAATCGTCGTTTTTCAAACTAAAAACTTTTGGGACTTGTTTGAACTTGTTTCTAAATAAAGCCTACCCAGCTCAAATGCCTCAAAGTAAGTACTGCTATCTTATTTACTTCATTTGCGTGTGCAAAATAGCCTTTTCCCGCATTACTCAATACTTTGCACACGCAAATGCGTGTTGGAAAAGGGAATTTTGTATTTATTTTCAGTTTAACGTTGAAATGAATTTATTCATATTCGAAGGTTTTGGTTTTAACGTGTTTTGCGTGCGAAAAAGTAACACTTCGCGCACTTGTTCGGAGAATAATCATAACAATATTCTGTTTACCTCTCGGTTTACCTGTTTATTTCTTCTGTTTATCGATAGATGGCACCAGTCGAGGGGTATTTCACTGACCACAATATATGTACAAATTTCAGTATAGTATTGCGGCAGTAATTTCTCAATAGCTCACACTCACAATGCCTTGCAATAGAATGCAATACCTTGCAATAGTGCACAATACTTTGCAGTAGGGTTGCCAGACGTCCCGATTTTAACGGGACAGTCCCGATATTGGAGATTTTGTCCCGTGTCCCGATGGACTATACGTCGGGATGCTAAATGTCCCGATTTCACGGAATTTTTTAAAAAGTTGGAAAAAATTAAAAGTACCTACTTATTTTTGAATTGTACTTGTTAATTATCTATTACTATTATTCATAATTATGTCAAGATTCTTTTGGTTTTGACGATAAGAATATACTAATTCATTTTATGCACTTTAGGGATTAAAAGTACCCTTCCAATCCCTGTTTTAAGGGGGTAAAGTGGGTCTTTTAATTTCCGGAATTATTTTTCACTTTATTTCCCAAGGGATTAAATTTTTACTTTATTTCCCGGGGATTAAGTGAAACGCGTTATTTTTTATTTTTAAATTTTGTTAGAAGTTTCATTGTTCAGTTACATTTTATTTCCTTTATATTAAATTATTCCTTCAATAAAAAAGTGTCCCGATTTTTATTGAAAGTCCCGATTTTTAACAGCTTTTTGATTGGTATACCCGATATGTAGATATTTCAATCTGGCAACCCTACTTTGCAGTAGTCGACAATAATTCACAATGTTCCACAAAACTCTTGCAATTGTCTGCAATACTCTCACAATAGCCAGCAATACTCTCACAATAATCTACAATATGCTCTCAATAGTTGGCAATATCATTACAATAATCTAAAATACTATCGCAATAGCTTGCGCTTGCAATAGGTTTGAAGGGTAGTTCTTCACTTTAATTTTTACTCTTGTCGATGAAAATCCTTGAGATTATTTATCTCTAAGATTGTTGTGTTTTAGTGTATTAATAAATTATTTGGAATATTTTTGAAGTAGCATGCTATTTATTTATTTTTTGCATTGAGACTACATCAGCCTCTATCACTCGTTGGAGTCGTTCGGTATAAATTTGAATACGGATTTTAATTTTTGTTGCACTTTATCATAACTTTAACTTACGAGTGTAGGAAAATAGAACAACTGTAAAATATAAGGGCGGGATTGTCTTTTCCTCTCTATCGCTCCTTCCTACGGTCCCTCTTTTTGGTCTCGTGTTTGAGTCGCTGTTCTTCAGATGTTAGGAATCAAGGGGCAAATCACCTAGGAATTATTTGCCAAAAATGTGGGGAATTTAGAGGATTTTGAAGGAACTAATCGGAATTTATGAGAATTTGGGGAATTTATAGGAAATTTAGAGAAATTTATGGGGAATTTGGATGAATTTATGAGGAATTTGATGGAAATTGTAGGGTTATGACGTCAGTGAGGTTCACATTCTTATTATAAGAAACGCTAATAAATGGAAAAAAAAAAAATAGTTTTGTCTTGGACGAGGGGTGAATAGCTGACCCAAAATCTGTACACCGACTGCCAAATTCCACAATCTCTAAGGAAATTTGCTAAGGTTGTGAGCGATTGTGTACGATTGTGAATGATTGTATAAGGATTTTGACTGATTATGAGCGATTGTGACTGATTGTGTCATGATTTTGAATGATTGTGTTAAGACAATAGGTGTTTTCTCAAGTGTCAAATGTTTTGAAACACTTTTAATACTGGTTTAAAACAATGTCACATGGCGTCATAACTTGTCGGCGCGAGAAAATGGTTTTAAAATGCCTAGCATTAACCCTCCAGATGATATGAGAGGGGGTTGTTTTAATTTCAACACCCTGTATTTTGGAAACGACGCACCTCCGACCATCGATGTCCTATCTCAAAACTACTTTTCTATGGTTCCTCTATATACCCTAGCATTTTTGACCAGTTGGACGGGGACACCCTATATATACCGGGTGCTTGAATTTAAAAAAATCATCACAGACAAAAGCTTTAATAACACAGGATGATCATGACAAATAATAGAGATTTTTTTGTGATTTAGATACTTTTTTCAAATTAGGCTTTTATTTGCTTAAAAATATTGTTATTTTTTTGTGACTCAAACCTTGATAGTGTAAATGGATGATTGATAATTTTTAAAATGGATTGGACCATATACAGGGTGTTACAAATTCGCGAGAAAGTATGCGGATCTTGGTATCCATAAGAGATACAGGGACGGTTAATTTGGGGCAAAGTTACGCAACTTCTTGCCTACCAAAATGCCTCTTCGAAATCTGGAAAATTCCGAATACTTCCAGAGATATTCGGAAAAAAACGAAATTTTACATTTTTTTTTCCTATGCTTGGTTGAAGGGATCCTTCAAAATAAATGACACTTTATCTTTGCCAATTTTTCTCCCCTACAATATGGCGTTATCAAATTTGGAATCTCGACGTTTTGTCTTTGGGCCAACATGATCAACTTTATTTTTTTAAATACGGCTCTGGATTTTTTATTTTCGGTTCTTTGTTAGTTTTGGACTTTTTTAATGGAATGGTGTATCAAAACAATCGATAAAATGAATATTTCAATTGAAAAAATATATAATTTGTATGGAGATACTCATTTTTGTCAAACACCTTGTTTTCTTCATAAATTTGTCTTTGTCAAACCTATTATTTTATAGCAAATACTCGAGCAAATATATTAATTGGGTAAATTGTTTTTGTTTGACGAAGATAATAAGTAAGTATCTCCATACAAATTATCATACTTTTTTGACTGAAATGTTCATTATATCGATTGTTTTGATATACCATTCCATTCAGGAAGTCAGCTAGCAAAGAACTACTCACACAAAAAATCAAGAGCCGTATTCAAAAAAATATAGTGGATGATGTTGGCCCGTCGGATTTCAAATTTCATAATGCCATATCGAGTGCCATATTGTAGAAAAGAAAAAGTGGCAACCATGAAGTGCAATTTATTTTGAAGTATCTCTTCAAAAATAAGCTCAGAAAGAGCAAGAAATTGCGTGACTTTGCACCAATTTAACCGACCCTGCATCTCTATGGTTATCCAGATCCATATACTTACTCGTGAATCTGTAAGCACCCTGTATAATTTTTTTTCTACAACGTCTAGGTCTGGATTCTCAAGCCATCTGAGATGAATTCGTTTTGTTTTTTAATTTAAATATTTTTAACTTTGTTTTTAACTTTCTCGCACAGCAACCACCTACCTCAATAGCAACCAAAAATTTTTGAGGTTGGGTCGAGGGTTGGGTTTATGGGTATTCCCCTTAGTATTGCCCTATTCAGTGTAATTATAGTACAGAAATGTGTGCTGCAGATAGCATACAAAAGTAAGCTCATCAAACAGTTTTATTGGCTTATTGCTATGGGCGAAAATGAAGTAAATTAAACTATTTGGAGGAACTTCACGTGTGACAGATGGTGGTAGATTGTGTAGCGATTGTGAGAGATTGTCTCGGAGATTGTGTAACGATTGTGAGATATTGTGCAACGATTGTGGGAGATCGTGACACGAATGTCAGAGATTGTGTGTGATTGTGTAACGATTGTGACAGATTGTGAACGATTGTGAGCTGATTGTGAGTGATTGTGTGAAGATTGTGAAAAATATGTACACCGACTGCAAAAGCTATTCACCCCTCGGTCTTGGACGTTGGACATTAATTTTTATCAAAGAAATTCTCCCAAAATTTCACTTTATTATTTACAGGTCCAAATTTAAAAGAATAATGAGTACAGTTTTTGTAGGCTGATTTCCAAGATTTTTCATGTTGTTACTTTCCACTGGAAAAATTTGAAATTTTGGGAAAATGAGCTTCTCATATTTCTCTTTACATGCAAAAAATTTCAAAATTTTCCTTCACTAGTTTTCCAAAAAAGTTTATCTTCACAGACGTCATTTTTTTGGTTACTTTTTTGTCCGCGCGTTCCGTGAGCGTACAAAAAAGTACTTTTTTGTACGCTCACGGCCAGACAAAAAAGTGACGTCACAGAAATTTCCTAGATTCCATCGCTTTGAGCACCGTTTCCGGAAAAAATCGCATGTTTTATTCGGAGAAAAGCACTTTTTGTGGCTCGTCTAAAATTTTCGGCCTCACTACGTTCGGCCGTCAAACATTGAGTGTCACCACAAAAAATATCACTTTTACTCCTAATAAAACAATATACTATTAAATGTATAAGCTCGTGTATGAGACTATATTTCCAATTTATTCAGTTACTGGAGGTTGATTTCCAAAATTCTTCATGTTGTTATTTTCCAATGGAAAAATTTGACATTATGGGAAAATGAGTCTCTAACCTCCCTCTTCACATGCAAAAAGTTTCAAATTTTTCCCTCCGATAGTATTCCAGGAAAACTTTCAAATGAGTGAGACTGTATTTTCAATTATAATTCAGTTTTTGTAGGTTGATTTCCAAGATTCTTCATGTTGTTATTTTCCATACTGGAAAAATTTTAAATTTGGAAAAAATCTTCACATTCTTCACATGCAAAAAGTTTCAAATTTTTGCCTCTACTAGTTTCCCAGGAAAACTTTGAAATGTGCGATACTGTATTTTCCGAGGTATTTTCAATTATTTCAGTTATTGTAAGTTGATTTCCAAGATTCTTTATGTTGTTATTTTCCACTGGAAAAAATTAAAATTTTGAGAAAATGAATCTCCAACCTTCCTCTTTACATGCAAAAAGTTTCAAAATTTTCCCTGGATTAGTTTTCCAGAAAAACTTTGAAACGTGCCGACTGTATTTTCCATTAGTTCAGTTTTTGTAAGTCGATTTCCATGATTTTTCATATTGTTATTTCCTACTGGAAAAATTTGAAGGTCAGAACCTTCCTCTTTACATGTAAAAAGTTTCAAAATTTTCCCTTAATTAGTTTTCCGGGAAAACTTTGAATTGTGTGAGACTGTATTAACAATTATTTCAGTTTTTGTAAGGTGATTCCCATAATTTTTCATGTTGTTATTCTCCAATGGAAAAATTTGAAATTATTGGAAAATGAGCCTCTATATACCTTCCTCTTCACATGCAAAAAGTTTCAAATTTTTGCCTTCACTTGTTTTCCAGGAAAACTTTGAAATGTGTGAGACTGTATTAACAATTATGTCAGTTTTTGTAAGTTGATTTCCATGATTTTTCATGTTGTTATTTTCCACTGGAAAAATTTGAAATTTTGGGAAAATGAGCTTCTAACCTACCTCTTTACATGCACAAAGTTTCAAATTTTTCCCTTCACTAGTATTCCAGGAAAACTTTGAAATGTGTAAGATTGTATTTTCAATTAATTCAGTTTTTGTAGGTTGATTTCCAAGATTCTTCATATTGTTATTTCCTGCTGGAAAAATTTGAAATTTTGGGAAAATGAGCTTCTAACCTATCTCTTTACATGCAAAAAGTCTCAAATTTCTCTCTTCACTAGTTTTCCAGAAAAACTGTGACATGACGTGTGAGACTGTATTTTCAATTAATTCAGTTTTTGTAAGTTGGATTCCAAGATTTTTCATGTGGTTATTTTCCACTGGAAAAATTTGAAATTTTGGGAAAATGAGCCTCTAACCTTCCTCTTTACATGCAAAAAGTTTCCATTTTTCCCTCAATTAGTTTTCCAGGAAAATTTTGGATTGTGTGCGACTGTATTTTCCAAGAGGCAAATCAACTAGGAAGTCTTTGCCAAAAATGTGGGGAATTTATAGGGAATTTGGAGAAATTAATGGGGAATTTGGAGGAATTTGCAGGGAATTTAGAAGAATTTCTGGGGTATTTGGAGGAGATTGTGATGGGGTATCTGGAGGAATTTGTGGGGAATTTGAAGGAATTTGCAGGAATTTTGAGGAATTTTGTTTAAAAAATTCCCTAGAAAATTCCTGTTTGAGGAATTGTTTGCACAAATTCTGGGGAGTGTTTTTAATTTACCCCTTGTTAGGAATAGACAATATCCGAGATTATACAGTTAACTGTTTTGATGGACATACTATCCCATAAACAATAATTAACTCTGAACTTGACGCCAATTTCAATAAAGATGAACTCAATTCGACTGACTCATCTGAGGTTATTCAGGAGGAAACTGATAATGACGTTGTGTTGACAGACAAAGAACCAGAGGAGCCTAACTCTCTTAAAAATTATATGAACAGGGTAGCCTTTAATATTAAAGATTACTATGCTTAGGCTCAGGTAACAGATATCAACAATGAAAGGTTTTTAAATATACATTTAAAAAAGAGAAAGTCAAATACAGTAAGAAAGTTAACATCGCAAATAGTACTGAATACAGAAAACAAGAAAAGCAAAGTGAATTTTCTAAAATTGAATGTATGCCAGTTTAGATGGGGTGAAAAAGATGATCCATTTGATTTAGATCATAAAGATTTAAATAATATGAAAAAAATATATAAAAGTTTGAAGAAATAGGGAATATCCTTGGGAATATCTATGTACTGCAATAAATTGCAATAGTTCAATAATCACAATGGTTTGCAATATCTAGAATCATTGGGCAATAGGTTGCACAAGTTCACAATACTCTCACAATACTCTGCAATACCTGAGTATTGCACAATATAGGTACAAAAAAACTTCAGTGAAATACCCCTCGGCACCAGTAATCAAAATAGCTCTTCAATCAAGTAGGCCATGTAATTTTGATTTGTCATCTTTTTTTCAAAAATAGCAGCATTTAGTTCATCAGCAGTAATCACCACCGTCATCAGGACATAATCTTGACATTGATGCTGCTTTGTTTGGAAAACTGATGATGTTAGCATAACCTGGAACCTGACGCAGACAGCACAACTAGATCACGAAATTGCTCTTGTAGGGCTTTTATCAAATTTGATCTGCTAAGTTTAGATCCACCATTATCCGTGGATAGTTTGTGTAATTCAACAGAGTTCCAAATACGTTATTTATCTGCTGAGAATGATCTCACAGTTTCAATGAATTGTATATCTGCAGTTTCTTTTTCTTGAACTTTCAACATTTCTAGTATTCATGAATTTATATCGGCAATTTACATGGTACTTTCACTGATTTGTTTTTTGTTTCTTATTGATGAAACTGATATGCTGTTCTCCATCTTTCAGGGTGTCTCGGATCCTTCTTCAAATAATAATTTTCTGCACAAAAAATGCAGTGTTTCTGCAATTCAAACGCTATTGTTTCAAACCTGCGTTGTTTCGTTGGATGAGAGGGACTTGCTTCTGAACTAGCTGATCTAGTCGACAGCATTGCTCTTTTCAAATGTGTTTTAGATATGTAGGTTGAAGCATAGCTTCTGTGACACTTTATGATAAAGTCACGATCATCTAGTTTTTTCTTCTCCAGCTCCGTAAATTCTCGCATAAATTTTTCATCACCGTGTTGTATATGATAAATTTTTATATATCAAGTAAAACTACCAATAAAGGGATTACTTTTGTTAGTCAGAACTCTGGTGCGACGCAGGTTTTTGACAGTAACCTAATTTGAAAAAATACATATTTTAGTAAATTTGCAATGTGAGCAACATGCATGAAATAAAGTATTCTTTTAAGCCTCACCTCAACTTTTCATCATTCCATTTCTCCTATACCTAAACCAACAAAGCCAGCTAAAAATAAAAATAAATTAGATTTTTTTATTCTCTGGGCAGTAAAATCGTAAACTGCGTTTGATATAGGTTAGCCAATTTCGACAGAGAGTAAGCTTTTATTGTAAATTTCCCTTATTTCATTATATACAAACAAAAAAAAAACCTTACGACTATTATATGGTTGCCATTTATTTTTGTTTTTTTTTTTTAACGGAGCCTGAAATTTTCCATTTCAGTACGGCCATAATACAAGGTGTCCGGAAAATAGCGTAAAAGCTCTCCACTACGTAGTAGGGGATCCTTTGAGTAACCCTGGAAAAATAGTTTAAAAAATCCTTCTCGACCATTCTTAGAATATGAAGAGGTAAATGTGAAAATTCAACTTCCTTATTTTGGATTTTTCTTTCAAATTGCAATATTTTGTAGAAAATGTTAGGTATTTTTTGTTGATTCATTACATATTAGTTTAAAAAAAAAAAATTGTTAACCTTTAAAACGCATTATGAAAATTGCAAAATCTCTAAATTGCAACAGGAAAAATTGATCTGACAACATTTTTCAGTCACCTTCGAATTTTCCAGGTAATTACATAGGTATTTAATTCAAATCTGTGACAAATTGTCAACGGGATGCCGATTTTAATAAACATTAAAATGCTAATAACTTTCTTAAGAATGCCACCAGATTTTTTATATTATTTTTCTGGGGTTCTTTGAAGGATCCCCTACTACGTAGTGGAGAGCCTTTACGCTATTTTCCGGACACCCTGTATATTCCCATTTCAAACGATAGATTTGTTAAAATATTTCTGGTTACATTTCTAATAATAATAATAAATGTCTCAAATAATAATAAATAGTGTAAAACCTTAATATAACCATAAATAAAAAATATACCAACAAAAATAGACCTACAATAAATAAAGAAATAATATAAAATATCAAAAACAATCCCAATAAATATACATAAGTGTACAGCCACACAGAACGCGTTCAAAGCGGCATAATCGCGCTTGGCGACTAGAGCATTTGTTACGTCTTTTGCAACTAGAATTAAAATAATGTAATATATAGCGAGTGGCCCGACAAGACACTTCTTGCATTTTGCGCTTCTTAAGCTATAGACGAAAAAGAGTTTATATCGCAAATGAAAACAAATCAGTGTACGGCCACACAGAATGCGATTGAAGCAGTATTAAAATGCGTTTTGGCGTCTACTTCATATGCTTTTTATGCGTTCGAAGATTTTCTTGCGATTTGTGTTCAAAGAAGAAAAGAAGCTGCGTGCTGCGTGTTTGCATTATGCAGTTTCTTTAAATATGTCGACGAGTGATAATAAGGTTGTACGAAAGCTAATGCGTACCGAGAATATAAATCTTGAATTAGATTATGGTGATGAGACTCTCTGGCTGGGTTCATGAACCAAGAGAGAACCACAGAGGGTGAATTTTATACTTTTTTCTTCAGTTGTGGCAACATCCTGATAAATTTTTTGAATACTATAGAATGACTATTGAAACCTTTGACTTGATATTGAATAGACATTTTAAATGCCTAAATGAAAGAAAACTAGGCATAAATCGTCAAAGAACGCACGCTAAACGCGGTCAAAAAACAAACTGATTGGTTTTCATTTGCGATATAAATTCTTTTTCGTCTATCGCTTAAGAAGTGCAAAATGCAAGAAGCGTCTTGACGGGCCACTCGCTATATATTACATTATTTTAATCCTAGTCGCAAAAGACGTTGCAAACGCTTTAGTAGCCAAGCGCGTTTAGTGTACGACCACACAGAATGCGATTGAAGCGGCATTAAAATGCGTTTTGGTGTCTACTTCATATGCTTTTTATGCGTTCGAAGATTTTCTTGCGATTTGTGTCCAAACAAGAAAAGAAGCTGCGTATTGCATGTTTGCACTAAGCAGTTTCTTTAAATATGTCGACGAGTGATAATAAGGTTGTACGAAAACTATTACGTACCGAGAACATTAATCTTGAATTAGATTATGGTGATGAGACTCTCTGGCTGGGTCCATGAACGAAGAGAGAACTACAAAGGGTGAATTTCCTACTTTTTTCTCCAGCTGTGGCAACATCCTGATAAATTTTTTGAATACTATAGAATGACCATTGAAACCTTTGACTTGAATATTGAATAGACATTTCAAATACCTAAATGAAAGAAAACTAGGCCTAAATCGTCAAAGAACGCACGCTAAACGCGCTCAAAAAACAAACTGATTTGTTTTCATTTGCGATATAAATTCTTTTTCGTCTATCGCTCAAGAAGCGCAAAACGCAAGAAGCGTCTTGTCGGGCCTCTCTAGTAAAAGACGTTTCAAATACTTTAGTGTACGGCCACACAGAACGCGTTTGAAGCGGCATAAACGCGCTTGGCGACTAAAGCGTTTGGAACGTCTTTTGCGACTACAATTAAAATAATGTAATATATAGCGAGAGAAGCGCAAAATGCAAAAAGCGTCTTGTCGGGCCACTCGCTATATATTACATTATTTTAATTCCAGTTGCAAAAGACGTTCCAAACACTTTAATCGCCAAGCGCGTTTATGTCGCTTCAAACGCGTTCTGTGTGGCCGTATACTTCACTCGTCGACATATTTAAAGAATCGCAAGAAAATGTTCGAACGCATAAAATGCATATGAAGTAGACGCGAAAACGCATTTTAAAGCCGCTTCAATCGCATTCTGTGTGGCCGTACACTAAATGTATGAATCATCAAATGTCAAAA